AGACAAGCGAGAAGAAGGGAGCGGTCCAGAAGAAAAGAGAAGAATTAAGGAGATGGAGGCTGGAGGTGGATGCTCAGCACAGATGGAGGACCGGGGACTTCCCAAGGCAGGGCAGGGACGGGACCAGCGGGCCTCACCGGTGTCGGGGTCTCCCAGAAAGGCGTCCTCATCCTTGCGGCCCCTTAGCGGAGCCACGGGCGCCGGCTCATCCTCCGGCAGCCGCGGGAAGCTGGTGATGCTCATGTAGTCCACGGGCGAGTAGGCGCCCAGGGCGCTCTCCTGGCTGGCCTCGTTCTCCGCCGCCATCCTCGCCCGCGCCCCCCAGCAGCGCAGCGCCTGCCGGAAGTGGCTGCGGCTGGGGGGTGTAAGAGGGCGGAGGGCGGGGCCTGAGCTCCTAGACCGCCGGGAGGGGGCGCCTCGCCCCAACCGTTGGCCACGTCCTGGCTGACTCGCCCCCGCCTGCCGAGCGCCATCTGCCTGCAGTGGGAGTGCAAGGTGCGGGTGCTTGGAGCACCTGGAGGGCAGTGTAGGGTCGGGGCAGGGGGTGGGGGGCAGAAAGCACACTGCAAGCGCGACCTCAGTGGCTCCAGGCACTTTATGTAGCCCAGGAACCAAATCCCTTCCTCCTTCCAGTCTGAATCCAGCTATTATCCTCCTTAGACCCCAGAATTCCTCCTCGGATCACAGGCCCTTTCACTGGCCACAAACCCCTCCTCAACCGCATATCCTGTCTCTGACCCCAAACTCCTCGGACCCCAGACCCCTCTTTGACTCCAAGATCCTTCTCCTCTGATCTCAGCCTCTTCCTCCTAGACCTCTTTTTCAACTTCAAACTTAGCCTTCACCTCCAACCCCCCCCCCCTTTTTTTTTTTTGAGACAGAGTCTCACTCTTTTGCCCGGGCTAGAGTGAGTGCCGTGGCATCAGCCTAGCTCACAGCAACCTCAGACTCTTGGGCTCAAGCGATCCTTCTGTCTCAGCCTCCCGAGTAGCTGGGACTACAGGCATGTGCCACCATGCCTGGCTAACCTTTTTCTATATATTTTTAGTTGTCCGATTAATTTCTTTCTATTTTTAGTAGAGACGGGGTCTTGCTCTTGCTCAGGCTGGTTTCGAACTCCTGAGCTCAAACAATCCGCCCGCCTCAGCCTCCCAGAGAGCTAGGATTACAGGCGTGAGCCACCGCGTCCAGCCTTCCTAACCCCTTCTTAATCCCCCACCCATGCTTCATCCGCAGACCGCTTCTTCACCTGCAGACCCCTCCTTGAACAACAGATCCTTCCACTGATCTCAGATCCCTTCCTGTACCTGACACTTTTCAGATTCCTCTTTCAACCACACCCTTTCTGGGACCCCTTACCTATCAGCATAGGAGAATGATTCTGAAACTTCAGTGTGCATTAGGATTTTTGAAAGCAGATCCCCAGATTCCACTCCAGAGGTCATAATTCAGTAGGCTGGGATGAGTTCCTTGGAACTTGAATATTTTCCATCATTTTAAGAGTTTTTTGTTTGTTTGTTTGTTTTAGAGACAGGGTCTTGCTCTATTGCCCAGGCTGTAGTGCAGTGATGTGATCATAGTTCACTGCATCCCTCCCTGCTCAGCCTCCTGAGTAGCTGGAACTGCAGGCGTCAGCTACCAAACCTAGCTAATTTATTTATTTTTTTGTAGGGGAGGGGCATGTCTCAATATGTTGCCCAGGCTACTCTTGAACTCCTAGCCTCAAGTGATCCTCCTATCTGGGCCTCCCAAATTGTTCAGATTACAGGTGTGAGCCACTGAACCTGGACATTTTTTTTGCGTTTTGATGTGGCTCTGGAAACTACACTTTGAGAAAGAAGTTATGGTGGTGGCAGTAGGGCAGGCGTGGGGTATGGTGGGGGATAGGTCTCTACGGTCTGGGTGTCTCGGTTCTATTCCTGGTGCTACCACTCAGACACTGTGTGATCTTGGGCAAGACACAATCTTCCCGAGTATCAGTTTCCTCATCTGTAAAACGGAGAGATAATAGTATCTGTTAGAGGGTTGTCATGAGGATTACATAGCAAATGGAAAGCACTTAGTATAGGGCTTGACACCTACTCAATAAATGCCATCATCATCATCATCATCATCGCCTTAATCTCACAGATTCTTTTCGTTTGTTTGTTTTTGAGACAGAGTCTTGCTCTGTTGCCCCAGCTAGTGTACAGTGGTATCATCATATCTCACTACAATCTCAAATTCCTGGGCTCAAGTGATTCTCCTGACTCAGCCTCCAAGAGGCTGGGGCTACAGGCGTGCACCATCATGCCTGGCTAATTTTTCTGTTTTTAGTAGAGACTGGGTCTTCTTCTTGCTCTTGCTCAGGCTGGTCTTGAACTCCTGGGGTCAAGTGATCCTCCCTTCTCAGCCTCCCAAAGTGCTAGCATTACAGACATGAGCCACCACACCCAGCCTCTCAAAGATTCTTATTCTGTCCAAACCCATCCATCCTCTCTCTACTCTCTGGAATTCCAATCACACTATAACTTGCACTACTTCCCCATCTCCAAGGATGAGAGAGGTTCTCTATCCTATGAGGCCTCTGGTCCAAACTTCTATTGTGCAGTCCACAGGAAGAGGGGCAGGGGCTGGTCAAGCACCTGGACAAACATCCCCTCTCTTCCCAACCCCAGACTTCAGGCTCACAGAAAATCTACTATGGGCACAGCAGCTGCAGTACCACCTATAGACAGGAGGAGACAGTAGTGGGTCAGGACCAGCTCTAGGGTTTGGAGTAGGACTGGGGAGAAAGAATAGGAAGGAGAGAGAAGGGTATTCAGAGCTTCTGTGGTGGGGGTGGGGTGGAGAGGATGACTGCCTACAGATAGAATTGTACTCATTGTGTGTGCCTTCCTCCCGGTAGAGAGGCTCTTATCATTTCAGTTTCTTATCTTCTCCATAGGGCCTATTATGCCATAGTGAGGTCTCATCCCCCAGTGGGCCCTGTCCCCACTAAATGTGGTCTGTGCCCCTCAGTGCAGTCCACTCCCTCAGTGTAGTTTGAGGCCCCTCAATGGGTTTGTGTCCTCTCAGTGGGGACCATGTCTGTAGTAAAGTCTTAGTAAAATCTATATCCTCTGTATTTCCTAGGGGGAAATCCATGTCCCCTCTGTAGGGTAAATGTCCTGCAATGCCATTCATGTCCTATTAGCAGCACCCAGACCCCTTTAGTCGGATCTGAGAATCCTCAGCAACATCCGTGCTCCCTAAGTGGAGTCCATGTACCTTCAGTGAAGTGTGTGTCCCCTCAGTGCAGCTGATGTCTCCTCGATGAAGTATCTGTCCCCTCAATGGAGTCCATGTCCAGTCCAAGAGGTCTGTGCCCCTTAAGTGAGCCCTGAGATCAGGATTGAGTAGGCTCTGGATCATATGTCTGATCATGGAGAGATTTTTTTTTTTTCAGTTTAGGGTGTGCTGGGCTTATGGGCAGCTTGGCAGAGGGCAGTGGAGCAGGTGGGAAGGGAGGCTGGGCTAGGTGGGGTTACATGCCCTGTGTAGGCTTCAGGAGGTGGGGGCTGCCTGCTTCAGGTCTTAGAATCACTCTTGACATTAGATATTTAAGAATCCTCAGCTGGGTGTGGTGGCTCACACCTGTAATGCTAGCACTCTTGGAGCCTGAGGCGGGAGGATCACTTGAGCTCAGGAGTCTGAGACCAGCATGAGCAAATGCAAGACCTCATCTCTACTAAAAATAGAAAAATTAGCCAGATGTCATGGCACACACCTGTAGTCCCTGCTACTTGGGAGATTGAAGCAGGAGAATTGCTTAAGTCCAGGAGTTTAAGGTTGCAGTGAGTTATGATGACACCACTGCACTCCAGCCAGGGCAACAGAGCAATACCCTGTCTCAAAAAAAAAAAAAAAAATCCTTCCTGCCTTGACAGCCAATCTGTGAACTGATGAGTGAGGTAGCCCCTTCCTGGCAGTGCAGGTGGGAGATGGAGGGTCCTGTCTGACTTCTTTCTGGGATGGAGGGGCTAGTGGGAAGCCAGAGGTAGTTGAGCCCAGGTTGTGGCAAGTGGGGAGAGGGAGTCCTTTGGTGAAGTAAAGAAATTGGGAAGGAAAGACGAGAATGTGAATGACTTCGCCTATTCAAACAGACTTTGGTATTTTACCAGCCTTAGCTTTAGCCTGATGAGGAAGTAAAACTAAACTTGCAGTTAGGGAACTTAGGTTTGGCCCTGACTTGGTGGTTGTTTGCTCTGTGATATTGCGCAAGTTCATTCCCTTTCCTGGGTTTACTATTTGTGCCAATTAGGCAATTAAGTGTTGGGTTTATTATCAAAGATCTGAAGGCACCTCCTAGTCTTCACTTAATGAGTCTTGTACTTTACCTCTGGACGGAGATTTAAGAAGGCAAGGTGATTGAAGGCATATCCTTAAAAGTAGGAGAAAATCTGAGCAGACGTCAGGGTTAGCAGAGAGGCGGTCCTGTCCCCCGGGGCTATGTCCTCAGGGTTGTGGGAAAATTTTTTCCTGAGGACGGAATGGGGGTGTTGTTCAGAGAAGAGAACCTTGGAGGGGAGGGTGTCATCTGCAAGGGACCTTACTTCACCTGGCTTTTCAACTCGGTGGAGTAACAGGACTGTGCAATCAGACCACGGGGCAGCTCCGCCATGGGCCTTGACCCAACTCCTCCCGTTAGCCCAGTCCTTGCCCGCTCGAGCCCCGCCCTAATCCAACCCCTCATCTGTCAGTTCAAGACCCCACCCCACCCTGGTCACTCCATGGCTCTACCTCCTCTCCGGTCACATCCAGCCCGGCTACTCCCCATCACTCCATGGGCCCACCTCCTCTCCTGTCACGCCCGGCCCCGCCCCTTTCTGTCATTCCATGGTCCCACCCTCTCTCCTATCCTGTCACTCCCGGCCCCGCCCCTGCTGCTTTCACTGGACGGTTCCACTCCTTCCGGCAAGTCAGTTCCGCCCCTATCCTTCGACTTATCAGTGCAGTATTTCTGTCTTTGAGAACTATGACCCCGCCCCTCTAGGAAATCCGCCCACCTCTCTGCCTAAGCCCCGCCCCCGCCCCACTCCGCCCCACTAGAGTAAGGCCCCGCCTCTAGGTCGATCTGTTTTCCCCGCCCGGGCACCCGTGGCGACCGCAAAGGCGGTTTCGGTGCTCGAAACTTGACGCGATGGGGCTTCCCGAGGAGCGTGGCCGGAGCAACAGCGGGAGCAGGGGCCAGGAGGAAGCTGGAGCCGGAGGCCGGGCGCGGAGTTGGTCTCCGCCGCCTGAGGTCAGCCGCTCCGCGCACGTCCCCTCGCTGCAGCGCTACCGCGAGCTGCACCGGCGCTCTGTGGAGGAGCCGAGGGGTGAGGCCGGGCCCGGGCGGGTCAGGGGGGCGTCGGTGAGCAGAGGAGCGGGCGTTTCCCGAGGGATTTGGGGGCTCCTTTGGGAAGTTGAAGCGTCCATGAGGAAATAGAGGTTCTGTGAGTGAAGAATTGCAGTTCTTTGAGGAGAAGGAAAAGGGATCCCGGGAGGAGATGGGGTTCTATGAGGAAAAGGAGCGTTTTTGTGAGGAGATGAGGGTTCCATGGGAGTTGGGGAGTTCCTCGGAGACTTGGGGGAGAGGGGTCCGTGAGGAGAGGAAGCGTTTTGCAAGGAGATGATTCCGTGAGGAGATGCGGGGTTCGGTGACGGAAGCGAGGTTCCTTGAGACTGGGGGAGTCAGCGAAGAGAGTGAAAGTTTCATGAGAAGGGGAGTTCCTGAGGCGAAAAGAGGGGCTCTACGGGGAGACGGGACGTCTTGAGGGGAGGAGTAGAACTTTCTTTGCCTCCCTTTGACATGAGCGCAGCCATTGCCTCCTGAGACCTTTAACCTGTGAACTGTTGAGGGGCAATAACAGGTCTAGTTCCCATCTTGGGACCCTCAAAATTAGTAATGAGGTCCCAGATTTATTTTTAATATATTAAAAATCCCAATGGAAATTACCCAGTATAAGACTGAACCAGTCGCTAAAATGTCAACTTTAAAAAAAAACCAGCGGGCTGGGATTATAGTAAGTCAGAGATTTGATAAATGGTTCCATGTCTTTAAAAATGTGTGAGGAAAATTTCCTGCCTTTGCTCTCAGTCTGGGTAAGGGGTCAAAACTGCACCCCATTCGGGAGGCAGCATGAGGTTTGGTTGTGGGACAAGCATGGGCTGCAAATCAAACCCAGAAAAACTTAGATTTAAACCCTAGTTTTGCAACGCATTTACTGTGGGGTCTTAGGCAGATTTTTAACACATTAACTGCCACGTGAGTCCTATTTAATTCACTCTAGTTTTGAGCCCGGGGCCTCGTGAAGCCTATGTAACTCACACGTCTCTTTACTTTGGGAGTCCTGTGAACTATTTTTCAAGTTGCATATAACTCACGCACAGAAAACCACAAGAAATAACACATTTTTCATTAAATTAGAAAGGATCGTTTTGCTTTCGAAAGTTTTGTTTGATTTTTGTAATAAAACACTGTGGCTCTAAGAAAAAAAATTTTTTTTCTAGAGTGACAGTCAATGTGTTAAACATGTCTGAGATTCCTTTTCTTCATCTATAAGATAGGAATAACAATACTTGCCTCATTGGTTTATATGAGGACTAAAGTGTGTAATAAGTAAAGTGTGCACTATAGAGTGCCTGATGCACAGTAGACAGTCAATAAATGGTGGTTAGTTTGATAATAATAATAACATGGACAAAGTAGTTACTGAATAATGCAAGACAGGATTGGGGGGGCAAGGGCAACATACGTAACCTAAACATCTGTACCCCCATGATATGCTGAAATAAAAAAAAAAAGACAGGATTGAATCAAGTGTAAAGTGGGGGAGTTGGAGTTGGAATTTTGAACCAAGGCAGTCTTTTTTTTTTTTTTTTTGAGACAGGGTGTCGCTGCTCTGTCGCCCCAGCTAGCATACAGTGGTATCATCCTAGCTCACTGCAACCTCAAACTCCTGGGCTCAAGCAATCCTCCTGCCTCGGCTTCCCAGAGTGCTAGGATTACAGGCATGAGCCACCGCGCCACTGTAAAGCAGTCTTGACTGCAGAGCCTGTATCATAATAGCAATGCTATTCCGTTTCCCTGACCTTACAGTATGCTTTTCACCAAATTCTGTCAAATACTCCCTGAAAATGTCTTTTTCAATTCCCAGAGATCCTTTTAAATCAAGGAAGTAGGCTTTTCTTTTCATTCAATTCCCTTCTCTTCAATTTACCTTTTTTTTCAGTTCTCAGAGATCCTTTTTTAAATCAAGGGAGTAGCCTCCTAATTTATTCTCTTTCCTAGTCTCACCACCTTCAATCTCTCTGGTAGATTTATCTAAACACCATTAGATTGATATTATGGAAATACTACTTTCATATGTCACTGCAAAAACTTGCAATAGCTCCCTGTTTCCTGCAGTTTCAAATTAAAATTCTGCTTTTCTTTAAAGTCCTCTGGATAATCTAGCCCCACCCCACCTCTCCATCCTTATCTCACACTGCTCCCTACCACACCCATCATTCTAGACAGGTCATTTTCTTTGTTATCCTGGATACACACCTGTTCCCACCTTCTTGCCTTTGCCATTTCCTTCTGCTCCTCTCTACCTAGTCAAACTCCACCAATTCCACAGAGCATTCCTTGATCACCTCAATTCATACTCATCTTTTTCCTCTTCTGAACTTCTTCAGTACTTAGAATTTATAGCAACGAAACAACCAGATCCTGCCACATGCACACGTAGACACACACACACACACACACACACAAACACACATACATACATACATACACACCTCTACAAAAAAAAAAAACTAAGTGAGCATAAAACTCAGTTTTCTTCACTCCTTGTTGATAGACATAAATTTGGTTCATAAATGGTTTTATATAATATGTGCCTACTATCATCACTTAAAAATATTTTTGAATATTTGTATTCTGGTATTTGAATATATTTCAATATAATTGACTATTTGGACTAGCTGTTTGGTCCCTGAGAGAGTTTCCTTTACTTCCTGAGCTTCAGTTTTCTCATCTATAAAACTGGGATAACTAAAGCATACTTTATAGGACCATAATATCATAAAGATTAAATGAGATTAGTCCAGTCCCTGATACATGAATGGCATTCACTAAATACCAGTTCCTATTTGCTTTCTCTTGAATGGCTATTTAGTATTCCATTGTATTACTACTTGAATTGCTAGTTTTTATCAGTTTGGTATTGTTGGGCTTTTGGATTGCCTCTAACTTCACTATTATAAATAGCGTTGCTGTAATCATCTTTTTAGTAATCATTTTTTTTCCTTTGGGATTATTTCTTGGAGTATATTCCCCAAAGTTGAATTAGCAGATAAAAGGGTATAAAATGTTTTATGGCTCTTGTCAGGCATTGCTGTGCTGTCCAATAAGATTGTGCCAATTTTTTTCAATGCCATTATTGTGTAATAGTATCTGCTTTCTTAAGACCACACCAGACATTGGGTTTAATCATTTTTTCAAATCTTTGCTAGTTTTATAGGTATATAATGACACTTTGGGATCGATTTAATTTGGTTTTCATTAATGTATCACAAGGTTGTGCACCATGTGATTTAGCTTTCAGTTATATTCTATCTTGTACATTAAAAATATTTCATGTATTAGTCTTATTTCTCCAACTAAGTTGTATAAACTCTAAATCATGTAACTTTGAACAAATCTCTTACCCTCTATGAATTTGGTTTTGTATGAAATGAAATGAGGGGGTGATAATCTCTAAGGTTTCTTCTATTGTTCTGGTTCTAAGTGTCTCTCTCTCCTCCAACTCTTAATCCAGTACTCAGAATATCCTAAATTCTCTGCATTCAAATATTTTACCTGTTGAGTATATTTTCTCCAGAGGAGCCAGGCACATATTTTAAGAATGTGAATCTGATCATGTCACTCTTGCTTAAAACCCTTCAATGGATTTCCATTGCTCTTGAGATAAATACCAAATTCCTTATCATACACCCAAGAATTGCATGATCTGCCCAGATTATGCATCAATTCCTGCTATTCTTTCTCTTAGTGTTTCAGCCTTAGGGAGTTCCTCTTAACATATACCCTTGTCCCCTTCCATCCCATAGTACCCCGGTAAGGGAGTGGAAAAAACTCCTAATCATCTTTCAGATTTTAGCAAAAATGTCTTTCTCAGGGAAGTACAAATTTTGACTTAATAACTGTGTAACTTTGGACAAGTTATTTGACCTCTCTGAGCCTTAATTTTCAAATTCATGAAATGAGAAAGGCCTCCCTCCTAGGGTTGTAGTAAGGACTAGATGAGCTAATACATATAAAAATCTTAAAGCAATAGCTGGCATATAATGAGTAACACTTGTGCAAGTAGAGGTAGGAAAAGGAGATGCTCAAATAATTGCTGAGAGAGAATGAACAAATTAAGAGAAGAAAGAAAGGGTCATGTGAAGCTCTGTGAGTAAATAATTTCTTCCTTTCACTAATTACTTCATTTAAAAATTACTGATTGCCTGCTACGTGCTTGGCATTGTGTTAGGTACTGGGTGGCTACAATTTGAATAGGTGGTGAAAAATGGATAGGCAGTTTTGAGGACAGAAGGATGAATTTCAGTCAAGATTCAGTGCACAGGAATAGAAGACGGTTTAGGAGAGTGGTAGATGGTAAGATGAGGTAAAGGAGAGACCCAGGTGGTAGGGAAGTTGGGACTTAGTCTTGTGCATAGAATGATAAGCCATCTGATGATAAATATGTCTGAGAAGCTTAGTGATGTTGGGGTTTCCCTTTCTGTTGCAGAGTTTTGGGGAAACATTGCCAAGGAATTTTACTGGAAGACTCCATGCCCTGGCCCGTTCCTCCAGTACAACTTTGATGTGACTAAAGGGAAAATCTTCATTGAGTGGATGAAAGGAGCAACTACCAACATCTGCTACAATATACTGGATCGAAATGTCTATGAGAAAAAACTTGGAGATAAAGTTGCTTTTTACTGGTAAAAATATCTATCTTATAGTTGTGACAGATAAAAGCAGTCACCTCTCATATAGTATTTCACAGTTCAAAAAATACTTTAAAATCCATTAACTCATTTGATGCTTACAACAAGCCAGTAGTATAAGCAAAATATCATTAACTTAATGTCTCAGATGAGGAAAAATAACTCAATGAAGTTAAATGACTTCCCTCAGATGACATAAATAGTATGTGAGAGAGTTGACATTCAAAGCCAAGCATCCTGACTGCTTGGCTTGTGGTTGGAGAGGAAGAAGTGACGTGGATAAATGGAAGAGAATAGAACTGAGCAGTTTTCTTTCTTATTCTTGTTTTGGGAGGAAAATAGGTATTGAGTTTTTCACCACCATCACCATTATCATTACCTTTTATTGGATTATCTCCTTTGATGCTTACAACAACTACAAAAACACTGTTTGTTTTCCTCATTTTACATGTGTGAAAACTGAATTTCCGAGAAGTTAGGTGACTTATCTTAAGTCAAAAGCTAGCAAGAAGCAGGGCTGAGATTCAAACCCAGGCAGTGTAATACAAAACTTACACTCTTAGCATGATACATACTGCCCCTTTAATTCCTTACCTTGGCCTCTCAACAGCTTTGCAAAATAGGTATTCTTAGTTCCATTTTATAGGTGAATAAATGAAGCATAGAAGGATTATGTAGTGAATAAAGTCATAGAGCGAGTGAGTGGTAGAGCCAGGATTCAAACTCAAGACTATTTGACTCATCGCTTATATCACCAGGCCATGTGGCCTCCCCAGAGGGAACTTTCTAAGATCCCCCTCTCCCAACAACTTAGCTCTCTAGGAGGTATTACTGTAGTGAATCCAAATAGGACCTTGAAATTCCAGTAATTGGGGTGTTGCTTCTGGTACCACCTATGAGCACTCTGAGAACTGATCTATTTTTTAAGCTAGCCAATAGGGGCAGGTTGTATGCTTCGTGGAAGAATTAAATTGGAACTCACTCAACATTTGTCCAGTTTGTGTAAAATATTAAGAGTCCTAACCTCAGAGACAGGAAACTTAGGTTCTCATTCCAACTCTACTATTAACTTTGTGTGTAACCACAAGCAAGGCATTTAACTGTCTGAGAATCAGTTTCCTCTTCCATAAAATGGGGATAATAATTTTACTCTTGTCTTTCTCACTGGATTTTTATAAGAATTAAATGAGATAATGTTGTAAAAACATTTATTTATTTATTGGGGAACATACAAATGTGAGCACTTTATTATCACATTACCATTGCTTCATTGGAGATCACTTTGCCACTCACTGTTACATCTGTTGAGACTCTTTTTAGCTCCTGCTCTAGTGCTTTATAGTTGAGCTCAGCTGACACTTGAGTCCACCTCCTAGACTCTTTAAGGATCAGAAAACCTTAAAAGATCTGCAAAGGAGATGCTGCGTCTGAATTTGTTCCCTGGTTTGAAACTCAGGTGCCTGAGGAAAGACTGAGAATATATAGGCCAGAGTTTTCAATCACTGGAGATTGCTCCAGAATCCTGAGGCATTTTCTTTCTTGAGACACTAGTTCACCTATCACCCTTTACTGAACAACCTCTAGAGAGCCTCTCTTTCTCCATTTGTAAAATGAAGGGAGTAGACTAGATCAGTGTTTTCCAAAGAATGCTTCAGGAACCACTAATGACTGGAGATACTAGCAGGGGTTTCTTCAAGAAATAAAATGAATGAGTCTGAGAAACACTACATAATAGATTGCCTTTGTGTGGGAGTCCCAATGTATTTGAACAAAGTAAAGTCTCCAAGAAGTCCTGCCATAGAGATACCTGATTAATTCTTTTTAAATGTGGGATTTCCCAAATTTATTTGGGCCCCAAACACTTTACAGCATGCTATTAGTACCATGAGTGGTGGTATTCCATGGAACAACGATTTGGGAAGCACTGGATTAAATAGTCTCTAAATTTACTTCCAGAGCATAATTCTGTAACTCAACAAGATATCCTCATTCCATTTTTATATTGGTCACTCCCTCAAGAATTGTTAAAGATACTAGATTCTCAGCCCTGTTAGGTGTTATGGATACTAGGATAGAGTGGTAGGAGACAAGTACCATATGGGCAATTATTATTCAATTCTTTTATGTTTATAGTAAAGCAAAAGCAAACTACAAATAAATCACATTTGTTACAAGAAAGTAAAGTTCAAATATGCCAGATATGTGGTTACTTCCCTTTGTTACCTCCATATTTTTAAATTATATACTTATACTGCTATTTATCTTTTTTGAAGAAAGTATTGATTTCTTGTTATGAGAGATGAGAATTTAGTCCCACCCTCCCTATATAATTATAGCTGTTTTCTAGTTAATTTAAAATCACTGTTTACATAATAATAACATAGCTATATTTTCTTTTATGTACAGATTTTTGTTTTCTCTGAAGTTAATAATTGCTTACCATTTTTTAATACTATTTAAGCCTTTATCATATACTTAATTTTTCCAAACTCTTTATCATATAGTTTATTCTAAGTCCTCTTTTTCCCCCAAAGTCCCTCCTCTTGGAGCCTACTTTCTTTCTGCTCTAATTTGTATTACTGTTTTAAAAAAATGACATCTTTTTAGTGATTTGCTCCAGTTGATATATTAATATTGATACTTCTTATAGAGCCATAGTATGACTTTCTTCTTGACTTAAACTGTGCCATTTAGATAGCTATAGTGGCATTAGCAAGCCATATTTGTTGTTTATTCTTTGTTTTGGGGCGTGCATTATATATACACTGATATAATCCACAAAGGAAATGGTGCTCTTAGGAAAATACTCCAATTAGCCAAAATAGAACCATATTAAGGAAGAATTTGGCCTTTTACTTTTGTCTTGACACATTGCAGATGTTCATGGAATAACAGTATTTTTAGAACTTGAAGCAACTGTTAGAGTCCATCTAGGTAGGCCAGCTCTTTTTATATAATCAGTAGATTAAGGGCCAAAGAAGATAAGTGATTTGCCTAAGGGTCATATACCTGTTTGAAGACAGAACTGAGACTAATCTCCAGATATTCTCACTCAGTCGACTATTCTTTTTTTCACATGATATTACCTCATTATTCTAGTAGTCCAACACTTGGCTGTGACAGATGAAAAGAGAAATTAGCCATATTAGTCAAATTAACTTAAAATTAATTTGCTTAAAAATATTAGATAAAATGTGCTATCAGGTTTAAATGTCCCAGATCCTGGTCTCATGGAGTTTGTATTCTATTTGGGAAGACTAAATAGGCCTATATAAAACAGTCTGAAAGCAGTTATGGGCCAAACTACAAAGAGCCACTTATACAAATAGTTCACACAAAGGAAAAAGCATTATAAGGAGGCAGGATAACGTAAAGATTAAGAGGAGAATGGGTTTTGGTGTCAGACTAACCTAGTCTGAGTCCTATTTCTGCCAGTAACTAGCTGTCTGATCTTGGACAAGTTACTTAACCTCTTTGAGCCTCAGTTTTCTCAACTGTAATATGTGGATAAAAGTAGCTTTTATCTCATGGAGTTGTCAATTGAGTAGTATTGAATAGGATAACAAACCCACGTGTCAAGTTCCTGGCACATAGAAAGCACTTAATATTAGCCACCATTATTGTTATATTGGGACGGTAGGAAGACCAAGACTGTTTGGAGTAAAAGGTTTATGCAGGGAACAATTTATTCATTCAATAAATACTTACTGAGAACTTACTATGTGCCAGGTACTACTCTGAACAAAACAAAGTTCCTGCCCCCATGGAGGTTGTAATCCAGCTTGAGGAGACAGACGATAATAAAAAAAAAAATAAACCGATAACTATATGACAGGTAGCAATAAGTGCTGTAGAAAAATACAGAGCAGAATAAGGGAAAAGAGAATGATAATGCAGAGTAGAGGCTGATAAGGGAAGAACCTTCCGATAAAGGTGACATTTGAGTAGAGATCTGAAGGAAATGATGGAGTGTGCCATACAGATAGTTGGGGTGGGGAGAGGAAAGGGCAAGGAAAGAGCAAATGTGCTGCTGCCTGATGTGCTCAAAGACTAGATAGGAAGTTAGTGTAGCTTAAGCAGTATGAGCTAGAGAAAGAGTAGTATTGAGATTAGCAGGGTGCTAGATCATGTCGAACATTGAAAGCCAATGTAGACTTTGGCTTTTATTCACGATGAAACAGGGGACCACTAGACAATCTCAAGCATAGATGTGACAATGATTTGGCTTATGTTTAGAATCTAATTTTTGTGTTGAGAATAGATGATAGAAGAGCAAAAGTAGGAACAGGGAAACCAATTAGGAGGCTATTACAGAAATCCAGGTGAGAGATGATAGTGGTTATTTTAGAACATAGTAGTCATTGTGAAGGTGGTTAGTAGTGGGTCAAAATCTGGATCTATTTTGAATGAAGAGCCCATGGAATTGGCTGACTTGGATTGGATGTGGGGAGTGAAAGAAAGAGGAATCAAGGTTGTCTTCAACAGTGGATGAAGTCCAGGCATGGGAGATCTTGACTGTTTTTGAAGACCTATGAAAGGGTTTAATGGAGGGGAATATAGTGATCACAGTGGAGCTTAAGAAGATTAATCTGGATATGTATGGAAGTAGGAGTGTGATGGGAGTGTGAAGCCAGAGAACTGAGAGTTTGATATTCATGGTAGAGATGCCTGAACTGGGTTGCTGCTGGTGGGAATGGAATGGAAAGATAAAATTTTAGAGTAATTTAGAGGAAAGAAACCTGCACAGGTAACTGGGTGTGTAGATGGTGGGGAGATGGGGAAGAGTCAAGGATTTTCTTAGTCTGTATAACACTGACTCTTTCAAAGGCATACGTTCATCTGATCCAAGGGCTAAATTTGCCCTCCAAAGCAAGACTTTGGTTCTAACCTCTCTTGCGCTGTCTTAGCCTTAGTGTGGGAAGTAGGAGTGTTAGTGGGGATTTATGGGTATGTGTGAGAGAAGATGATCAGTGACAAAGTGTTGGAATAGTCAT